TTTCCGTTATTCGTATTCTTTGTAATTGTTCGTGTTAAAATTACTGCGTCATTCTCCTTTGCTCTTTGGATGCATATTCGCTTGAGCCTTCGTGTAAAACCGTTTGCGCAATGGAAATAAAAGGTTTCCACCAGCATCAGCGCGCACAAAATTTTTGTTAGCCGTCGTCAAGCAAAGGAGAGGGACACACTGCGGTGAGTATATTTGCGTTTAAAAATTGTCAAATTGTTAAACTTATAAATTCTTTTACACAGAAATAAACGGCGCCATATTTATCGAGCCCGATTTTCCAGTTAAATTCGCCAGTGTTTTATTTATTGTATACGGTGGCTAACAAGCTTTATTTCGCAGTCGCAGTATAATCTGGAAAGCCTTCGTTGGGTGTTGGCGCATAATTTACGTTTATCGCAGCGGCAGCAGTTTCACCTTTATTGCAAATATTTAAAGCGACTTGCCATACGTAACATTTGCATCACGCCATCGATTTTATTGTTTTTTGTCTTGGAAGATGACACGTGAACTTCCACGCCGGTGCACCCGCTCAAATGCGGAAAACGATTCCAACGACGCCACCAGCCAAGCCAGCAGTGAAAGCAATACCACTGCATCAAACGCCGCTTCAACCTCCGAAGTACTTGTTACTGCGACTACCAGCGGAGCCCCAGCCAGGGCCTCCACCACTACCATTGGAAATGCTAATACCCCAGCCAGGGATTTTAGCGTTGCTGCTCCAGCTCCATCTCCAGCCGGAGCCACGAAGAACCTCCCGGCTATGGAAGCCAGTACTATAGCTTCATCTGCCATCGGAGCCACTAAGGTTACCTCAGTGAGGGAACCCACCAATACTGCTCCCAATGTGACCGTAGCCCCCAATGTTGTCCCAGCCAGGGAACCAAGCAACGCCGCCCCTACTGGCACTGGAACCGTCAAGAAGGTTCCTACCTCCACAGCGTCTGGAGTACCCAAAGGCTCCTCGACTATCAAATCTCGACCAGAAAATGATCTCTTGGCAATGGAAAGGCGAATCGCTTTGCTAGAAAGAATGCTAAAGGAACGTGATACGCAGTTCGAAATGGTGAAAGTGGCGCTCCAAGGTAACGGTGATAACGGTAGCAGCGCTGCCACGATACACAGCGACGTCGCAGCGCAGCCGTCGCCTACGTTGCCGTCAACACAACCGCAATCCACGCAGCCGGTAACTGTGCATACAGATGCGGGGCCAACAGTCGCCGAAGCCCGTTATCTGCCGCCAGTCAGTACAGCTACCGTGTACAATTCAGCCAACATGCCATCAGACGCTTTCAGTATCACATCTACACCGCATTATATGAACGCTGCCTCAACTGCTCCTGTTGAGCCAATTTCCAACCGTTCGTCTCACGTTCCCTTTCAGTCCGCTTCTGCCTACACGGGTTATGGGAACATGCAGTTCTTGCCTCACGATTCTAGGGTGTTAAGCAAGATAATTGATTTGCCAGAATTTGGTGGAAAGGCCGAGGACTGGCCTATATTCCACGCAGCGTTCGTTGAGTCAACAGCGGCCTACGGCTACACCAACTTCGAGAACAACCAGAGGCTACGGAAGTGCTTGAAGGGCGAGGCACGCGAAGTGGTGAAATCGCTGCTCATTCATCCCAGCAACGTCAGCTGCATCATCGACCAGTTACAGTTCAGGTTTGGCCGGCCGGAGCAGCTCATACGCAGCCAGTTGGCTCAAGTGCGCGAGATTGCCCCTATTTCCGAAAATGCGATCGGGAAACTGATTCCATTCGCCACGAAGGTGAAGAACATCTGCGCCTTTCTTCAGTCTGCCAATGGTGAATATCAGCTTTCTAACCCGACTCTTCTCGATGAGCTCATTGGAAAATTGCCTGTGAGTAAGCGGATTGAGTGGGGTACCTTTGCATCTACAATCAAGCCTCGGGCCACTGTGGTCCACTTTAGCGAATGGATCAGTTCACTTGCCAACGTGATCTGTATTGTTTATGACGAGGAGCACGGACGAGATTCGAAGCGTAGAGTGGTCCTACATGTAGATAAAAAGCAGCATACACGAAGATGCCCAATCTGTCAGGGTGCTCACACAGCAATTGAGTGCAAACGCTTTATTGAGTCAACAGTAGCAGACCGATGGAAGGAAGCAAAATCACGTCGCTTATGTTTCGCCTGCCTGCAAGCCGGTTACTCGACACGTGATTGCCATCGAAGGAAACCGTGCTCCATCAATGGGTGCCCTCGAATGCACAACAAATTGCTTCATGAGGTTTCAGGCAGTATGAATAACTCGCAGTCAGAACCAGCACCGAGTAGCAATGGGGGTGAAGCACTATCGCAGCGTGCGGCACGCCAACAGCACAGCAGTAGTCATACGCCAGCGCAACAAGTACCTCAACACCAGCATTCATCGAGTGACACAGAAGCTGCAGTTCTAAGCTTTTCCGCTAACGCATTTGAAGGTAAGCTGTTGTTTCGTATACTACCGGTCACTTTATATGGAAAGCACAAGAGCATCGACACATACGCTGCTGGATGAAGGTTCCTCAGTCACGATGCTGGATAACGCACTAGCCCTGGAGTTGGGACTGCAAGGACAACAACAGCGTCTTAACATACAATGGCTTGGTGGTCGCTCAGCGCAAGAGCCTTCGATCTTGGTAAGCGTATCCATTAGTGGATGCGGCATGAAGAAGAAGCACACGCTTCGAAACGTGTATGCGGTGTCGAATCTACAGTTGCCTTCACAAAGTTTATGCAGAGCAGACTTACACTGCGATGACAAGTACAAGCGTCAGTTGCCAGTTCAGCCATACATTGGGGTGATGCCAACGCTTCTCATTGGTCTCGACCACTGTCACTTGGGCCTGCCGTCAACTACTTTGAGGATGAGAACAAGTGGTCCTTTCGCCGCATACACCGAATTGGGCTGGGGGGTGTTTGGGCCAACAAGTGAACGCCTGCCAGCTACGCCTTCTTGTCTACATATCAATTCTGCGAGCGATAAATCCCTGCATGACCTGGTTGCTAGCTACTTTGCTGTCGAAAATTTCGGGGTGCGCTCATCACCAGCAATCGAGAGCGCAGCTGACAGTCGTGCCAAGCCTATTTAAGATTCGGTCACACGTCGCGTTGATGGTAGATTCCAAACAGGTCTTATCTGGAAGCGAGATGACTTCTATCTGCCAAATAGTTACTTCATGGCGCTAAAGAGACTTGTGAGTATCGCGAGGCGCATGAACCGAGACGCAGGCTTCGCAGCAGCTTACGAAGCAACGATGGACTCCTATATTGCAAAGCGGTATGCACGAAAGCTCGACCCAGCGGAAGCCTCAGTGGTAAAGCCTCACACTTGGTATTTACCACATTTTGCCGTGGTGAATCCCAATAAGCCATCGAAGATACGTATGGTGTTCGACGCGGCAGCTGAGGTCAACGGCGTCTCTTTAAACTCCGTGCTGCTGAAGGGTCCGCAAGAGTATCGGTCTCTGCCGTCGATTCTCTTCCATTTTCACGAAGGAGCAGTCGGAATATCTGGGGACATTAAGGAAATTTTCACCAGGTGTTGATGCAACCCGAAGACAGGTGCGCCCAACGATTTCTTTGGCGCAATGGCGATAGTGGTAGGCAACCGGACGTATACGAGATGTGCGTTATGACCTTTGGCGCTGCTTGCTCGCCATGTGCAGCGCACTATGTCAAAGCTATAAACGCGCTCGAGCATCGCATTAACGCCACAAGCCGAGCGGTGCAATCAATATTGGCCTACCACTACGTCGACGACTTCGTTGATGCTTTCGACTCGCTTGCAGAAGCCATCTCCATCGCACAAGAAGTTCGAGCCATTCATCTGGACGCCGGTTTCGAGCCCCTAAATTTCGCTTCAAATTCGCCAGAGGTAGTTGCAGTTTTGGGTGGCGCAGAAGCCACGAAATTGATTGCTAGCAAAGAAAGCCTGGCGACTGAGAAGGTCCTCGGTCTATATTGGCAGCCGTCAACAGATAAATTTCAATTCAATTTGCATTTTAACAAAGTTGACCCTCAAGTAGTGAACGGTGGCAAACGCCCAACCAAACGTGAACTCCTTAGCGTGGTTATGTCAGTTTTTGACCCACTGGGTTTTCTAAGTCACTTCATCATCGGCGCTAAGTTAATTATGAGGGAGGTGTGGAGGCGAAATACGCGCTGGGACGAACCATT